ACCTCTAGTAATATACTGTATTTACTGAGAAAAATGGTGACGTGTTCAATACTTATTTTACCCGCTGTATTTTTAGCTGTTTAAGCCAAGTGTTCATGTTAAATTGTGTGCAAAATACCTTTTTTTTATAAAGTCAGTAATAACTCATTGTGCAACATTCAGGATGATCGTTGTGTTTATGATCAGGAGTGCCAGGTTTGTGAGGCAAAACAGTATAAGGAGAACCACCAGAACTCAGAGATTTGTTCTGACGGTMACACTTTTTGTTTTGCAACATAAGTTTCATGTTACTGGTGATGAGCTGCAGACAACACAGACTTCATTGTTAAAAACAAAACATTAATCTGTTTAATGGAAGATTGACAACAGTCTTCATCTGGTCTCCACAGAACCTGATAATCCAAAGGAATCATGTTCTGACTTCTACAGGTGAGAYAATGAGTGTTAAAACAAACTTCGCTCAAAGTCAAAAGCCAAAGTCCCGATCTATTATTTTTTAAAAGACTACTGGATAAAACTGCAATTGAGCACAGCAAAGGTTTACTAACCAAACGAGACAAAAACATATTTAAGAATTTTTTTTTTATTGTTTTAGCATTTCTACAGCACATGCTTCTGGTTTATTTTTAAGTAAAAATCTCATAGACGTTAACGAGTTCAGCTTTTGTCTCAACAGAACTCTTAATTGAGATGTGATCAGTCCTCTCATCTGTCCATGAAAAGAAAAAAAAGATAAAGTAACTTTCTTTGCCTGTTAGCAAAATATCTCATGAAACACCMAAAGAGATTTTGATCAAACTCTCAGTAATGAATCATTCATTGTGGGGAACTTGCTGGTAAAGTCAGCCCAATTCTAGAAGGCTCCACAGCTATAAAGACAGTAACTTTGATGTGATACTAACACAGACTCTGAGCACTAACAGATCCTGCTGATATGACCAAAACAGGCAACAACAGTGAAGCTTCTTGATTACGTCAATTGAATGAGAATTTAAGGTACAATAGTTGTTAAAAGAACAAATAATTAAATCTAAACTTTATATACAAAGTGATTGGTATAGATTAGCATATTTATTCAACTTTGATAGCAGACCAAACAGAACATCCAAAAACTGCAAAAAGAAAAAAAAAGTATGGGAGAACAAGTCATTGTAACACCACACGGTGCACGTCTCACTGCACAGAACCTTTGGCAGCATCGAACATCTTCTTCCTTCCCTCCATCCCCGACATGGCCTCCACGTTCTTCCTCCAGTCGCTGTCCTCAACTGGCCTCTTCTGCAGATRCAGACAGATTGTGTAAGCACCGTGAAACAGACTCAGAGCGTTTTTTTTTTTTTTGTTGAACTCGTAAAGACGAGCAGGCTCAGAAAGTGTATTGTGAAGCTAAGCCCTTTAAAACGTGCGCTTTTGAGCGGGAATCTCCTGAGAGATCTACCTAACTGTGCTGGTAGAACTGGTTTTTCTGATGTAATGCGCTTGGAGACTCACAGGTCAGAGCAAGCATACACACTGAGACACATCGGAACAGACTAATCTGCCAATGTGGGCACACACACACACACACACACACACACACACACACACACAC